TTCACAAGATTTTGTACATTATTTTTATTTGCTTTTTTAGCTTAATTTTAATTGCCTCGTGAAAAATAAAGATTACTAGGTGTGATAATTTGCTGCTGAAATCTTAATATACGCAATGCATGTCCCTTGATAGTACAGATGTTCTTTTAAAACTATTTTCATTAAGCGGGACTTTTTTATGAGAAATAAGCTGGTAAATATGAGAAAATAGTAAATATTTCATTCTTATTCATTTTACTTTTATTAGGATCATTTTTAATTCGTTTCGTTGGTTTAAGTTTGTTAGTTTGAAGTTTTGAATGTTATTTGATTGTAATAACGTATATATTGAACTTAATATTTACCGTTGTCGAGGTACTAAAAAATAAGTAAAATATTATCATTTAATATTATTCATTAAAAATTAATTAAATTATAATTAATGTTATAATTGTATTTTTAATGGAATAATTTTGTTTGTAAACACTTTCTTGTATCAAATCAGGTCAATGTAAAGGGTGTTTTTTTAGAGGTATAGAACTTTAAATTGCAATAAAACAACGATGTATTATTCGATTGACATGAATTTTTTCTATTCGAAAGATAATCTTGTGGCATTACATTTTAAGTATGATTTCTGGCATGTGACTGCCACGGCTGGCTCGGATGTAGTCCAATCTGGACGTCCAATTTTCGATGACTTTTTCCAACATTTGTGGCCGTATATCGGCAATAACACGGCGAATGTTGTCTTCCAAATGGTCAAGCGTTTGTGGCTTATCCGCATAGACCAATGACTTAACATAGCCCCACAGAAAATAGTCTAGCGGTGTTAAATCACAAGATCTTGGAGGTCAATTCACAGGTCCAAAACGTGAAATTAGGTGGTCACCAAACGTGTCTTTCAATAAATCGATTGTGGCACGAGCTGTGTGACATGTTGCGCCGTCTTGTTGGAACCACAGCTCCTGGACATCATGATTGTTCAATTCAGGAATGAAAAAGTTAGTAATCATGGCTCTATACCGATCACCATTGACTGTAACGTTGTGGCCTTCATTGTTTTTGAAGAAGGATTCCACCAGCCCATAAAGCGCACCAAACAGTCAGTTTTTCTGGATGTTACGGTGTTTCGACATACACTTGTGGATTAGCTTCACTCCAAATGCGGCAGTTTTGTTTGTTGACGTAGCCATTCAACCAGAAGTGCGCTTCACCGCTAAACAAAATTCGCTTATGAAGTCATCGAAAATTGGACGTCCAGATTGGACTATATCCGAGTCAGCCATGGCAGTCATATGCCAGAAATCATATTTAAAATGTAATGCCACAAGATTATCTTTCGAATAAAAAAAATTCATGTCAATCGAATAATACATCGTTGTTTTATTGCAATTTAAAGTTCTATACCTCTAAAAAACACCCTTTAGTTAAAATTTCATGATCGAAACAAGTTGGGAAAGTGGAAAAAACCTCGTTTAGAACCTAGTAGCCGTTTCATGATAATGAAAAAAAATTTGGCTTGTGGAAATGGCTGAGGCATTATTTCTTATGACTTAGTAAAAATTTGAAATATTTATAGTAAAGTATATGGTAATAAAGCTTTGTGTGAAATGAATTTGTAGTGTGTTAGCGTATAGTAAAAAAGAAGCCTCTTAAATTAGAAAATTAAGCTTTATTTTATTTTGTTAAAATTTAAACTAATACTACTACTTTCATGTAGTTCTATACCATTACAAACATTTAGGACAAACTTTAATTTGTCGTGTGGTTGAAGAATTTATAAACGCCATCAGTAAACATGTTATTATTATGAAAATATTTTATTTCTGAAAGCATGGAAAAAATTTCAGTTTTAAATAGAGTTAAATCATATAACATTTTCCAATGCTCAAACTTTTTCAGCATGATGAAAAGAAATAAATAACATAAGGTATTCTTTTTTTCCTTCCTCTGTTGAACAAAATTTGAATTTAAGAGATGCGCAAGTATATTTATTAACTTTTGCCTATTTTCTTTGCAACTTGAAAGCATTATTTCCTTACAATTCTTCATTGTTTTTAGGTTCAAGTTTTATTGTTGTTCCTATTGATGCTGCCTGTTCTGGATTTTATCTCGCCCCTTAAAAATGAAAAATGCACAATCCTCCCTCACTCTATTGCTCTCATAGGGAAACTCCAGTTCAATGCATCAATAGTTTTCTATCAGTAGCTTTATATAAAAGAAAGATTTATGCTGGCAACTTTTATCTTAATATATTCTACACGGGGTCACTTTCAAATTCTTCTTAAAATTCGAATCAACTGCTCTGCTTCATTCGAAGAGCTTCCCTTCCATTATTTCCCTCTATTTATCTTTATCATTTTATCGCGGCAGCGAGAACCTTTAGATTTATCGCTGCAGACTGGAAGACTGTGCCGGACAATTTTTATTTCCTTCGGATCGATGATTTGAAAGCGCTTTGTGACTGTCCGGAATACAGGAGTCCGGTAATTCCGACTGCAAATTTGATTATATTTCTGGATAATTACATTAACCATTGTATCCCTTGAGCGAATTGGGGCCTCGACGATTTTTGCAACCGGTGAAGGTAAGCCGGACACAAGGGGTGGTTGGAAGGAGGCAAAAAATTATCTGGTGCCCGGGTGACCGCAGTGGAGTTCCCTCTGGGATCTGTGTAGGACCAGGAATGCCTCAGACGACAAATCGAGTGTGAGTAGCGCTTAGGGAATAAATAGCAACAAAAAGGAAGTCATGAAAGAAAGAAGATGGTCAAGGGGTAGAAAAAAGTACTACGAGCTGTGTCCGGCGATCTTGTAAAAGAAATAGGATCGTTTATAAAGTTCAGCGCCAAGATCGTCGGTTCAGATTATTACTTCCGTGGTCTTCTTATTTTTGTTGACTTGTTTAACCATCCCCTTGGAAAAGTTTGGAGCGAAAAAGTGCGAAATGTTTTTCAAGAAACGAATGCCCACTTTTTCCATTCTTTATTTTAACAGAGAAGTTTTCGCGTAATGGTATTTCTATCATTTTTTTCTTTTTGGGATTTGGAGTTGTCATTCCTTTTGTAAACATGCAACTTTATTGTTTTGATGTCTCCATATGTATTTTGAATTAAGCGTCAACTTGCATATCATCATATTTGAATTGAGATTTGGTTTTTGTGTTGGACCTGGTATAATGTACTCAAATGAAGTCGCTGAGTCATTGTACTAGAAAGAGTTTGATTGTATGAGTGGATCTAACTTAGCCAAACGTTTTTTCAGTTTTAAAAAGACTATGGAGTGTAAAATTACTGCATTTGTTAATTATCAGATCTACTATTAACGCTTACTGACTTAAATAGTTACATTTTCTAATGAAAAGAGTTTCACAATTTTGTCTGATAAATTTTTCGCTTGACATTATTGAACAATGAATTTACGAAAAATACTTCGTATTTATGTATTTTTATTCGGTGTTTCACTAAATAGCGGAAATACTGTCAATTGGATCGGAAAATTGTATTTTCGGTAGTCTAAAATTGATCAAAATATTTACATTGCTTTTAAAATAAGTTCTATTCTTCCTTTGATTTAAATACTTCTTCTGGCGTAAATTCATTTGGAATTTGTTTGGTACAGAACATTTGAGAATTATTCTTTGATTTCACTAAATGAAAATGGAGGTACATTGTACGAATATTATCGAAAAGGTAAATGCAGTCATCCAAATATTTGTGCTGTATATGTATGGAGGAATATACCTTTATGGGTTTTAAAAGTACTCGATTCCTTTCAAATACAGAGGGAAAGATCTGAATTATTTGACTTTAACTGTATTAAAAAAGTTTATTGTGTGTATATTAACGCGCGTATCATATATAAATAGCTTATCAGTTTAACAGCTAGTAGAACGGTTACAAAGATTTTTCATCGCAATATCTTCATTTCATATATATAAAGCAGTATTTTCTATCTCACAAATATGTTAACCTTAATATAAAGTTTGCAATACGGTTTTAAAATGCATTTTTAAAAGTTTCAGAAAACATGAATAAATGAGGAAGAAAATTAAAAATTTTCTCTCTTATACACGAAATTTATAACCTGCAGTAATGATATACGCGGCTTTTTTTTTTTTTCTCGTTTTCATATGTATTTATTTGGAAGAAAAATATCTTTCATTCTTTAAGGTTTTAACATTAATTCTAATATGGTTTTCTATTCTTTTGGATATAATTAAAGAGTTAAGAGATTTCTTCTGTGAATAAATGTTTCTTTAGAAGGGCATAAACAAGTAAGTATAGCGTGATTTATAATTAATTGTATTAATTAGAGACTTGACATTCTTCTTTTTCGAACCTCAGTAATAAAAAAGGATTTTCGAAGATGTCGATTGTGCGATTTATTCGACTCTTGTCTTGTATAAAGATATATTTCCATGCAATACATTTATGGAATTAGAAATTAATTCTTCCGCAATATATGGATGTTTAATCTTCAGAATGGTTTTTAAAAGGTAGTTGAAAATTTATTATGCCTTCTCTCTCTCTCTCTCTTAAGCTTTTTGTAAATTTTTAATATTGATCAATTTAATCTTTTGTGTTGAACTGGGAGAATTTATAGAGCATCCTATCTCATGTGTTGCGTACGATTTAATCGCTTTTAGGGGTACTGACAACATTTTCAGACGAATTTTCATATTTCTACTGACACGCGTGTCTGATGGGGGGGGGGAAGGAGCGCAGTCCAATACTTAAAGACGTGATCTTCGATGGCCATCCATGTTAAAATCATCTAGTAGAGTTTAAGTCTTCATTGCTACAAACAAGAAATAAAATAAATAAAGAAAAATTTTGTTTACTTTTTATTAAATAATTACAATTAATATAAATATGTATATACATATGACATAATCACAATATTAAGTGGCAAAATAGAAAGCGATTTTCCATTCTCCCTTCTATATATGGTGTTGGACTATTATTTTTTGTTTGTTACTATTTATTCATTCATAAATCACATTCTCAGATATTACGCCATCCCAGGTAGTATTCGAACCCACCACCTTTGGATTAGAAGTCCAACTCGCGCGCGCTATCCATTACGCTACAGGGAAACAACGAGCGATTTTCCTTTTTATATATGGTGTTGGACTATTATTTTTATTTGTTACTGTATGTTCATTAATTAAGTTGATGACTACTGAATTAATATTTGATAAAAAACTATTAATATCAAGTGTCATCCTCTACAAGTTTAAAAATATGTATTTGAACTAGAATGGATGAATAGAAAGTATTTTATTAACGATTGAAAATTTGAACAAGATATATAAATATATATATAGGGAAAATGTAAACTAATAGTGGGAATTGAAAAAAAAGTAGATATTAGTTGCTGCTGTTGCTCATTAAATGATATTATACCCCAAAATCGTCTCTTTTTATGATGTTAAGTGAGTGTATTGTTGTAACTGACACACGCGTCAAATCTGTACGCAAAATAATTGTTACAGTAATGATATTCATTGATCTAAAAAAAATCCCGTTTCATTACTAAAAAGTTAAAATTCTAAAAGATATAATGGATAATGGTGTAAAAAGCAATTAATGTTACGTTTCATTTATTTACACGAATAATCTCGTAGTACATGTTTTTAGTAATAACAAATGTGTGAAAAGAAGGAATAATTGTCTGAAGATGGCTATAAAAAGTTTTACAATAGTACGTCGAAAATTCAGTTAATATGTTTCGCGATCCTGCCTAGGAGCAATAAGTACTTGGTGTCTGTGATCTATGCTTTCAATCGGATGGTCTAATTATTAGGAAGATATTAATTGCCACTGTAAATGAGATTCCCCCAAGGGGGCTAAAATATTGCCGTGTACCATCTAAGGAGACTCCACAAATGCTGAATCGGATTGAGATTTTGGGAAAACTGTTCACTGTATATATATGTATATAGTCGCTGAATAATCTGCTCCGAAATACTTGAGTCTTGTCTCTTCAAGATTGAATCTCATTAGGTTTATTATTAAAGGATGAAATCTGACTTAATCCGTGTATTAATTTACGTGTATAGGGATGTATTGTAAGATATTAAATGATTAAATAGTTTTAAGTAGTACTGGTTTTAGAAATTTATTTTCTACTGCAGGAAAATTTTGTTAAAATTAGGCACATAATTTTATGATTTAGTTGATGAATATATTTACCTCGTGGAGAGCGAGGGATTTAAAAGGGAGGAAGAAACTTTTAAATATAGTGTGTGTCTGAAAGGTATCTGAGGTGGGTAGTTATCTGTTTTTCGGATCCTTAACATCTGTACATATCAAATTATTATAATTATTTTAAGGTTTCTTTTTAGTGGTATTCGTTCCTACAAATTCCTTTTACATTTATATCGTATTGTATCTCTTTTTTCTTTTTTTCTTTTTGCCAGCTCTGGTGTCGTCCTCAACACCCTGACTATGGCTCAAAATTGTGATGCCTAATAGTCCCGTTGATGGTTTAAAGTGCGATGTTAATAAAATGTCAATCAACGTATTTTTTTTTCAGTCAAGTATGATAAGAAACATGTGCATTTCATTTTTTTTTGTAGTTTGCATGTTTTGTATATAAAAAGTTGTATAATGTGTCCTAATCTGTATAGGGAATGTTGTTAGCAAAAATTGGATCTTAGAAACTCAGTAAATTAAATTATGTAAGCTAAGACAAGTCGATCTCAAAGCGATTTTCCTGAATCAGCCGATAATAGAGGATTTTCATATTTAAACTGAATTTAATTAAGGCCTTTATTAACCTCATCCCAAGTCATTTTAACCCCGTTATCCAAACCCAAACAGTCTTCATACTGAAAGATACAGAAGTCCTTACAAAGATACAAAATGGTTCCTCCCCTACTCAAACATCTATAGAACTTAGTTTTTAAAATGAAATCTACTTTAACGGCATGTCTAACACGTGAACTAGATTTCCTTTAGATTTTAAGATTTTGAAAAGTTATAACGTATGGGGAATATCTTTCTTTTTTAAAAATGATTAGATATGAAACTTGCTGCAAATTTTTTTGAAACATTTCATTTGGGGAGATCATCAGAAAATTAAATAATGACTGGCTTTATGTACTGATCTAAGCTCATAAGCCACAGAATTTGAGGTAACTTTTTGGAATCACGACACACAATAGAAAAAAAGCATTTCACTCTGTAATTAAATGTAGCGAAGCTCTCTCTCTCTCATGTGTGTTTTTAATACATACATTTGTATATTTGAACCAGCAATTTCATATTTAAAGTCCACGTAGACTAAACAATACTCCCCCCTTAATGAGTGATTCCCGTACTAAAGATTCATTATCATTATCTTTGTCTGGAACGCGTGCAGACGCAGACTTCTTTCTCATTAATTATAAGAAAATATCTGTATTCTTTTCTGTGGCTACTTTTCATTTAATAAATATTCTTAACAATTCTGGTTTTATAACCCCTACCCTATTGTCTCGTATTAGAACAAGTCAAAGTTAGAATATGTTAATTGTCAAGTTTTTAGGAAGCTCTCTCCCCCGCTGTTAAAAGACGAAGAAAAAGCAAACCTTGACCATTATGGTACTCGCTGCAATTGTGAGCTACTTTCTGATTGCTCATAAAGTTAGAGCAAAGAATTAATAATCTTCGCTAATCAATGTACATTTCCTGAAATTAAACTCCCATGCTTAGATTTCATATTTCCATAGGATACTTCAAGGAATTCTTTACGATTTTCTTTTCCTAACGCTGCCAATTCATTTTATAGAAAGTGTCCGATCTACCGATGGACGAGTTGCAATTCCTCGTTGAAGCACCCTGCTATTGAACTTTTGTCATCTCTCCCTTGGGACCAAATGGGCTTACCCCATCAAATGAATTCACTGCGAATCTAAATCATCTTCAAGTTCTGGTTCTTGAGAGTTATAACCTGAAAGGGCGGGCCTTCTTCATAAAATGCACCCTGCAGCTAAAGATTTCAAAATAAATTGACTTTTAACTCTCACAGATTTTTCTCCCCTTCCATAAGAAATGTCAAGAAACTCTTCGTTGAGGCATTTGAAGATATCGTTTCGACCAATGTTGGGCACTGTGCCATCTGCACTACTTGGGTTGCGATTTCCGGGTATTTCCCTCTAATTCATCTTCAAGTTTTAAATGCTGTGTTTATATTAAAATTACCATTTATCCGAATCAGCTTCGTTCGGATTCATCATAATTATGGAAAAGAGTGACTAATTTCTTACAAATGCTTAAGAAAAGTGAAGGAGTAATAACCGAAATGAATTCTGGTTTTTAAGACGACTTGGATACACTTCTACAATTTACATTCATCTGATTCAAGTTAAGTGGAAAACTTCCTATAATTTATTCTTGTGGTCTTAGTATTTCTTCCAATTATATTTGGAGAAATAATCTAAAAAAAAAAATCCAAGGAGAATTGAAAGACACGAAACTGTTAAAAGTATACTACATCAATGATTTAATTTCTGTAGCAACTTAGTTTTTGTTAACTTTTCGTCTTTTTTTTTATTTTCTGTCATTTTATATGTTTGTAACGACTGATTTAAATATATATATTTATTTATTTAAATATATAAAATCAATCATATGAACAATCAATCACAATAATCAATTAAAAAATTGAAATTATACGAATCTTATAATACTAAATCCTATTTCAAAATATCAATGGCGAATATAGAAGATAAAATTCCATCGTTTTCAAACAAAATTTAAAAATTTATAAAATATCCATGTGCAACCTCGGACTTAGGACCGATAAGTGGCGTTAAACTAGTTTGATGACGCCAATCTTCCCCCTATTGCAACTTGGTAAGTTAATCGGAAAATATCCAATTCTCAAAAATTAAAAAGTTAAAATTAAACCATTAAACTTGAAAAATTAAACTATTCGCCATCGCATTCTGAAAGGTATTATAACATTAAAATATTAAAATTCTAAAACAAATTAGTGCATAATATAAGTAAACCATCGAACACCAAAGATGATGCACCCATCTTTAAAATAGTTGTATAGGTAGAAAAAATATCTGAAATCCGAAAGTTCAAACTAAACAATATCTAAAATCCGAAAGTTCGAACTAAAAATATCTAAAATCCGAAAGTTCAAATTAAAAAATATCAAAAATTCGAAAGTTCGAATTAAAAACCCAGTATATTCACAAATGAATAGCGTAAATCATTAAAAGCTCACCAAAGAGCATCCTATTAATAATTATAATAATAATTATCCTATCAATATATATATATATATATATATATGTTTGTCATTTATTGCTGTATATGCAGTCCTTATTATGATTTTCTTTTGCTTTAATTATTAAAAGGGAATTTTCTTCTTGAAAATACATCTTTTAGTATTTGCATCTGAGATATATTTCTTGAAAATATGCATCGTTGATATATTTTAAAAATTAAAATACAGTTAAAAATATATCCAATTGAAAGTAATTTTCCCGATGTGCGGAATCAAAAATTAAAAAAAACATTTTTTTATATATATTTAAAAGAAAATTATGTATTTATGGTAACAGGATTTTCTACATAATCCAACTTCTTTCATTTTTACCTGAAATTACATTTAAAAACTCATCATGGTTTTTTTTTCTTCCCATCATCAATCATGGTTTAAATTTGAATTTCGTAATAACTAGCTCGTACATTTATTAAATGCGTGGACACTTATTTCTAGTAATTCTAACCACCTATAATTCGTGGTAGTAAATAATACTTATTTACTAATAAGTATATGTCCGGATTTCAACATATCCCATGCATAAACTAGATGAAAGTTTTGAAGTAGAGAAGTAATTTACTTTAACAGGATCCTTTAAAGCGCATATTCGACATTACATTGATATCCGAGTGGTAATTATTGCCAGCGGAGAATTTAAACTACCAGGCATTGCAGACAGAATCAACGCGTGCTGATTATATGATGGTCAGTACCAATGAGAATTCCCTTATTCTGGAGGATGAATTCGGATTGAAAATTTTGGGATCCAGAAATGCATTTATGTCGTGTGATTGGAGAGTATTATTAATTAATGTTTTACTCCTAGTCCAA